TTAGCGAGATATATAGCTTCATAATTAGCCCGTTGCATTTTTTCACGAGTGCTGGCATCAGCGTTCTACGATGCGTTTCTCTGATTAACAGCTGCTTTGCAACTATTTCCTTGCGCCACCGATGACCATATTTGTCAAGGAACTCCTGGCAGAGTACTGATTTCTTACCAAAATGCAGCATTTCTATTTGGAGAGGGTTCCCTCATTCTCGCCAGTGTCTGGCTTTTAAAGTCGATCCTTGTTAAAACTCGAGTTGGCTTCAGTTTAACGCTTGTTAACAGGATCTGGGTATCTATCTACTTTAGAGTACGAGCGGAAGAACCTTTCACAGGCGATTTAACCTGAGCTGCGCACGCGTGTGGCGGGGCAGCGTTGGCGTGGGGTTTCAGGCCTGCATGTTGGTCATTTTCTTTTGTCCTCTAGTTGTGATCTCTCTGGGTTAAGAGGGGCTTGGCTTTGGTTGTTGGTGTCCTTAACTTTTGAATTTTTTAATATTTTAAAATGGCTAATGAATGCTCACATTTTAGGAGATAGATGTGTATGTAGAGCACCGAGTGCTGGAATTGGTGACATTCCAAATAAGTGTCACTGGAGACAATGCATCAGGTTTACGTGTCAAGTGCAAAGTGCTAAGGCTCCCTCAAACCCCAGGTTCGTTATTAGGCAAGCTCCGTTCTCCCGTCCCCCTCGTGCGGAAAATGAAGTGTGCGTTCTGAAGGTGACGGTGTGCGGGTCTTTTGTAGGAGGGCAGAAAACACGTGTTTTTTTTTAGGACTGTCAGGAACCTCGCTTCTCCTCACCAGGGATTTCTTCTCCCGCACAAGGCACTTAACAGCGCATAGTTCATCGTGGGTAGCCCCTGAGTATACGTACTCCATTGATTTATACAGTTACAAATCCGGGCTCTCAAACACAAATCTCTCTCAATTGGCCAATCATCTTGGATGCAAAGGTGTTTTCAACCTGAAGTTCCCTTTTTTTCCTGGATCGTTCGCTGACAGTCACTCCAGCAGAACCACTGCAAGGGCAAGAAATTCTCTCCCCTTCTTTGTACCTTGGTTTCGCCTCTAGCTTCAAGTCATAAATGGTGAAAATCATCAGATTTCCCTAAAATGGTGGAGTTGGCGGCAGGGTTGTTTTATTTGGCTTTGCGGGGAGGAGGAACAGAAGGTAGGGTCGCAGGAACAGGGGTTGGCGGGAAACTTCACTTCTGTTTTCTTCCGAGTTCCTCATCTGTATGTTTGTGAAGCCAGCGACTGGTAATTCGGGGCGCACCGGCTAAGAACCCTCCGGGTGCAAGGGCAGGGAAGCGAGCCGGCTTCGTGTTTATCATCCGAGCTCGCGCCGGAACTTCCCCGGCTTGCTGCGCTCCCACCACACGCGCAGCGAGGTTCCTGTCGCCGTTGTACATCTTTGACATTGAGGCGGAAGATTTGGCCTGAATTTATGTAATTTAGTTGGGCACAAACATAACCCATGAATAGTCACATTCATCTCCTAATTAGAAAATCAAACGATAACACAGGACAGGCCGCAGGCACCCCATCATTTCCTCCAACAAAAGCGTGTTGTGCATGTTGGTCCTTCACAGAGGAAAGAGTCCGTTGAATTGCTTCATGAAGTTAATGAAAAGTGTCCAACAATAGGGGAATCAAAGATGCAGACGAAGCGCACTGTCAGTTATTTAGTGTGTTAAAATCTTTGCATTATGGTTAAAGATTTTTCGGAAATCTTGCCATCCGTGTATGAATCGTAGGGCTTATAAAATTCCAGATTGGACCTCCCTTCCCACCCCCCACCATAGTGCCAGTTCCTCGTGTGCAGGGAGGAGAGTCAAGAGTAGTTGGAGAAATAATTAGTGAGAGGAGAGAGGTTTTCATATGTTCACACTTACATGTAGCTGCTTATCTGGGTCTCTTTCTTATTCAGCACATTATGTTGAGGCTGTTAGGTTGGATGCTTTATATTTTTGCATCTGGCGTAGTGATATCGATGCTGTTAAATATGTGATTTGCCTGTCGCCTGCATTTTCAGACAAAGATCGAGAGGAACATAAACAAGCCCCAAATATACTTTATGTAGGTGTTTGGCAGTATTATTTTATATGGCTTGAAATTAGTGAATGGAAACTTTAAAAGAAATTGTTCATATTTTTGCAAGTTTGAAGTGTGCCGGGACTTTGTCAAATTCCCGTTAAAATAAATACGTCAATTTCATCTCCCTTCCAAATTCATTTATCTTGCTTTTTTAAAAGGTGTTTTCTACTTTACCTGATGTTTAAATTGGATTCGCTCGTTTATGCTGTTCTTTGCTATATCCCCCACGTTTTTCTTAAATGAATTACTAATGACAGAGCACTCCATCATTCCCTCTCTACAGCCACTTTAAGGAAAGCATGGTGATCTAAACCTTTTAACCTATTAAAGATGATTTTTCCCAATTGAATCAGACCCACCACAGGTGTAATAACTAATCATTTAAACTACACCTGCTATTATGTATTTTTAAGCCATTATGCGTGTTGGATAGATGATAATTCATGTTTATTGCATTGTCCGATGGATCCGTTTTGCCTACACTAGGCTGATTAATGTATTTAAAGAAATAAGAGATGCAATTTTTAAAAAAAAAAAATTGATGGAATGCGCCAAGCACTGCATTGAGTGCGCCATTAAACACATCAGAACTTTGCTCTCTGACCAGAAATGCATATACCAAGGACTATATTAAAAAAGCAAGGTGAAACCTGTGTGTTTTAGTGGTGGGATTCTGTTTTCTTTCTCTGTCATGGAAAATTTTGGAGGGATGAAGGAAAGGTTTTTGCTTCGGTGGGTAAATGAGCAGAGCTGGGCCATTAGCATCTACTGCTCAGGACCTGCTCGCCCACATTTCCTGACACCCCGCACACGTGTCCCGGCGTGCGGAGACTGCCGTGGGACATGAACGCCCTGTCTTGTGTGCCGAAGGCATGTTTTTTCTCCAGGTGAAGGATAATTATCCCCGAGCCATCTGAGCTGCGCACATTGGCGTTGACCCTGTGGGGCCGGCGACTGTGTGACTGCCCCTTCTCTTCCCAGGGCGCGGGCTTGTCTCCCTTTTGTTCTTCTCCGTCCTCCTCCGCCGCTTCCCTTTCCTACTTTTCCCCTTTCCTGGCTCTTTCGCCCCTTCTGTTCCATCGCCTCTTGTCCCATCGCCACTTCCTCCTTCTCCCCTCCCTCCCTTCTCCCCATTCCCTCTGCTTTTCTTCTTTCTCTCTCATCTCTGCATTAAAATGCCCCCGTTTTGTGGATCTTCGTCGCATTTTTCTTGATTTTGGTGCAACCTCGAGATCTGGTTGAGGGGCTGAGTGTGTAGTTTTGGGGTTCTCGACTCTCTAGTGCATCGGTTTTTCTCTAGTCTGCAACTGGTTGGTGATCCCTGCAGTTCTTGATGGTGGTTAAAACATTTGCAGTGTTGGACAGATTATATAACCAGTCTCAGGGAACACTGGGTGTCTAATCGCTGACCAGCCCACGTGTGCAGATGTGGGGCACCTGAGTTCATCCTTCAGGGAGCAGGTGTCAGGAAAGCCCTCCCCCCCGCCCCCCCAGGGAAGGACTACAGGGAAAATATACGAAAAACTTGCCCTGGCTTTTTGTTTTTCTTTCTGATTTATCCTTACATCTTTCGTTACCAGAAAAGCCTGGTCTCAAAATTAAATTTATATAAAATCTGAGAGAGTATTTGTAACTCGTGACTGGAATCACTTGTAGTCACAGTGCTTTCTGTTTGAATCTCTGTAAAACTGCTACCCTTAGTTCGAAGGATCTTAGAAAGCTTCCTTGTATTTGGTCCCTTAGAATTTTTTTCTTTCAATAACTTAGAGTGAACTGCTGGGCCTGTAGGCTTTACCTGTAACATGCGATGGTATTACTCTTTTGGTTTTGACGAGAAGAATAATGCCAGTCATTTAAAATGGCCCCTTTCCGACTTGGGGCAGGTATCGTTGGACTAGGGTCAGGGATGGAGAGCAGACGGGGGGGCGTGTGAACCCGCCTCATGCGTGCTGAGTGACCTGATGGTTAATCTCTTCAGCAGTTCTCCTTCCGTTCCGAACCGACCTGGCTTATTCGTAGACATGAAGATTTCCTTAAGTGTCCCAGAAATGGATAGAGAACCCGTCAGTCTGTCAGCTCTTAGCCACAAAACTCCACACGTTGTGCTTCGAAGCCTCTTCGGAGTTGAGCGCCGTCGCGTGGCTGTGAGAACGTGTGCCTCCTCTCGTATGACCCTTCCCAGCACCTAGATGCTCAGCACTGTGCCAGGCTCTGTGGAGGCAGCTTGGTCTCTTCCCTTCAGATGCTTGCGGTGTATCTGGGGAGGCGGCCCGGGCATAAGAAGACAGTGTAATTGTGTCTTCAGTTGTATGGCGCACTCTCTAAGCGCTGGGGATGTCAAGAGAATAGAGAGATCAGAGATGGTTTGCTTATTCAGGGAACAGGATGTACAAGGGATGCGCTGGGGTGTGTGTGTGAGTGAGTGAGAGAGAGAGAGAGAGAGTGAGAGAGAGAGAGAGAAAGAGAAAGAGAGAGAGAAAGAGAGAAAGAAAGAGAGATGTTTAGACAGGCAGAGGAGGGAAAGAAGAAGGAAAAGGAAGCCTTCTAGAAAAAGGGCATAGCATGGGCCCCGGGTAGTGACGTGGACGAGCATGGCCAGGAGAAGGCTCCCTGCCGAGGAGTGTGAAGAATCAGCTTGAACAGGGAGAACAGGCAAGATTATTGCAGGTCTGAAGAGCTGGGCTGAGAGAATTAGATTTGCTAGGATCAGGTGCAGGAAGCCAGTGAAGGCAGGGGACCAACACGGCCTTTTACTCAGGTAGATTCTAAATGTGAGAAGTAACTGGTTGTAAATGTGACCGCACTGGTGTGCTGATTTCTGCGGACCTGGGATAAACCTGTAGCATTTTTAGTCTCGAAATTCAGACTGTTGATGTTTACTTTTCTTTTGTATCTCCCCACCAGATCGCCACAGCGGTGAAATTTCTACAGAATTCCCGGGTCCGCCAGAGCCCACTTTCGACCAGGAGAGCATTCCTTAAGAAGAAAGGTACAGGTTCTCCATGGCCGTGCACAGTGGCCTGCAGAACGGGGCTGGGGCTGGGGCAGGTGGAAGCCACAGAACGGAGGAGAGGGTCTCCTCTGACTGTCCCGCCAGGGCAGGGTGGGTGTGAGGGGGTCCCTGAAGGGAATGCAGGCTCCTTTTCTAACCGTGCAGCGTACTCAAGCACCAGATGAAAGAAAGGCCGATGACTTAGCCCGGGATGGCCCGGGACAGCATGCAGCAGAAGAGGCCACTAGATAAGCCGGTGGAGGACTTCTGCTTTCTGGTCCTTCTTCTGATAATGTCCCTTTAGGTCAGCTGCTTCAGTAAAGAATGAGGAAGAAAGAAATGTAGGATGAGGGAAATGAGATGTCTAAACAAGGTCAGGTGAAGGGAAGCTTAGGGTCAGTCTGATTTACGGGTCGAAGTGGTAAATTACTGGTTTTATGGTATTTCTGTAAGCGGGTACGAAATGGATCTTGACAAATTCAGTATTGTCGGGAGCAGATTGAATGTATTCTGGCTCTTTTGAAATTTGGGATATTTTTCTTTTCTGTAAAATACAAAGAAACTCCCCAGGCCTCCCCAAACAATCTCAAAAGAGAAAAAGGAATCTGACTTTCGTTCCTTGAACACTATTTTCTAGACAGCTAGGGGACTGTTTAAAGGCCTACAGACACCACGAGGGCGGAAAGCGATTTTTCTTCCCCTCAAACAGAACTCTTTTTTTCCATCCAGAGCTGGAATGCCAGCCTCGAAATTCTAGGTTGTGTGTGAGCTTTCAGTCACCCGAGGCTGGAAGAGCAGATGAAGTGGCTTGGTGGTACTTCTCGGGCCTGCTCCGCGGTGCCCCACAGAGGTGGCCCTGCAGGATCCTTTCCCCGACGCTGCTCACAGGTTGGGGCAGAGCAAGCCCACGCGTTTCGTTCCCAGGCAGCCTCAGGGACAGTCCCTGTGACTGAGCAGATGAGGGGCGCTGTGTGCCTGCTGGCGGCATCATGCTCGCCCCCCATCACTTGGAGATTATTAAAATTTGGAGTGCGTTGGCCGGCCTCTCCACTCCGCAACCATCATGCCATAAAAGAGTTTTTCCTTGAAATATGTGTACCTATGGGGAGTAATTAATCATAAAAGCTTGGGGATTTCAGCTCTCTCATCAAAGCATTGAAGCCGGGGAAAGCTGAGCCTAAAAGCTGTGTTGATTACCCGGGGTAACCTGAGACAAAATCTATGGTTGCCGAGAGATCCTTCGCCCCAGTATATTGTGCAATATTATAACTGCTTGATCTTCTCTTCCACTGACAATGACCAGTTATTCCTCATTTTCTCTCAAACGCAGCTGGGTTAGAATTTCATTTGCAGAAGGTATTTAGAGCAATTTAGAGACAAATGTCTCTGGTGTTTGCTCGGCACTTCCCCACCGCAGGCTTTGCTGAGCAGTTTTAGTATCAGGAGCTCCATCTAATCTGTTTAATTTTAATAAATCCCTGACTGGGAGAGAGAAAGGAAAAAAGAGAGAGAGAGAGAAACTCTGGACCAAATAATACTTCTTTTGAGTTAGTTGGCTAATAATTACGGTAGAGAGGAAACTGTTTTGAGCAATTATTATTTGTTGCCCCCTTTTAAAAGAAAGCACAACCAATTAATTCAATTATTCACCTAGGGGTGAGTACTTACCCCATGCCACACCCTTTTTTAGACAGGAGCAGACAAAATAGCCTGCCCTCTCGGAGCTTAAATTCTAATGGGGAAGGCAGACAAGTCACAAATGAAAAAAATGCAGCGTGGAGTATGTGGAATGGCAGGTGCCGTGGGGCGAGGGTGATGAGAGCTGGTATGCGCCCGGCTTGCCGTTTTAAACGACGATCAGAGCACGTCTCTCTGAGAGGGTGACACGTGAGCGAAGGCCCGAAGGAGATGAGTATTTGTTGTAGGGGCGCAGTTCCTTTTCCACCCCTCTCGCGGGTATAAGCCCGGACTCCCAGGACTTAATTGCCCATCTCCATTAACTTCTAAAATTGCTTCAGTCAGGAATCACCTCTTCCCGAGGTGAATCCCGATAGGCTGAGTTCTGGCAAGAGTTTATGGGCAGAGAGTTCCAGGGTTTGATCGGCGTTGGGGGAAGAAGGGCCCCTTCGTGGATTTAAGCTCCATTTTGAATCTCCAGCTTTTCCTAGGGTCAGGACATGAGCAGCGCCGGGCCCACCACCTGGCCCCTGACAGTAGCTGGGAAGGAAGGAGGAGAGTTGGTCCTTGGGGGTGAGGAGGGTGTCTTGAGGGGAGGGACCGACGTCCTGGCGTCCTGGCCATCAGTGTCCCCTGAAGTATTCGTTGCAGTGGTGGGTTTGGAGCTGGCTTTGGGTGAGCTCACAGCACCGTGGTCTTGGCTTCTCCCAGAGAATGTCACTTCGGGGAATCGCAGTGGAGCACTGCTTTGAATTATAATCTTGACTTTCTTTTTTTTAATAAACATCTCTTTCCTGAAAAGGCAAATCCAATTTTGTTTTTCTTTTAATATTATTTAATATTTAATATAGAAATTGAGGTCCCTGTAGTGCATGTCAGTTCAGTGGAAAATGAGGGTTACTTTAGGCGCATCGGCCGAGTTTGTGTTATTGTGAAACCACAGCCCGGAGCAGGGCTGCAGCCCGCCTCTGACGGACAGGTTAGGTGTGCGCTCTCTGGCTGGGGGTGGCGGGGGCGGGCAGCTGGAGGAGAGTGAATGGGATCCGGGTGGAAGAGCACTGGTTTGCAAAGGCCTGTGTGTTTTGTATTCTTTCATTTTTGTTTTTCTGAAATCTCTTGGATGCTTTAAAGTCTGAATATGGAGTCATTAATGAGAAACATGAAGTTATTATTTTCATTTATCATTTTCTTTGAAGTTTGTACTGCCACTTTGTATAATTTACAGCATTTCTTTTATCAGGAATTTTTTTTTTTTTTTGGATGAAAGAGAAAAGCAGCTGTTCACCTTCAGAGTATTAGAATAAATGTTTTTATTTCCCTTCTAACCACTCGATTCTGCAGATGACACATCAGTGGCAGAGTCAGCCCCACATGAAGAGAATCGGTCCGTGCGTGGGGTTGAAGCCCTCGTGGAGCGGGTCTATGTATAGAAGCGCTTCTTGCCAGGCAGGCGTCATGTCTGGGGCTGTGAGCAACAGTCCGGGCGGGCGGGGTATTGTACAGACAGCAGCAGGACCGGGCCAGAAAGTTGGAGGCGTGTCATTGTTGTCCGCAGGCTTGCGTCAGTGTGACACCCTGTCCAACTGCAAAGTGTAGGAGGCAGGCCGAGCATAAGGTGGGGAAAAGTGGTGCCTGGTCACGGAGCGGAGATAGAATTGTCTGCTAGCTTATTCCGATACGTCTGTTGCAGAGCAGGCTTCTAGAAAAGAGCTGAGCACGACACGCGTTTCTGTGTAATCCTCATAGTGGGGCCTGGGTGGTGGTGGTGGCAACGGGGGGCGGTTCTTGACTGGAGATAATGGAGATGGGTGATTGAATCCGTTGGTTCAGGTGTAAATGTAGGTAAACTCCCGTGGTTCCCCCCAGAGGGAGAAGGGCAGAGGCCTCTCAAGCTTCCTGCTGCCTAAAATCCTAGAAACGCTGTTGTGCCCTTCCCAAGTGCATAAAGTCAAGGGTTGTGTTCACACTCATCTAATACATAGTTCGGGGGCGAGGAAAACAACAAATAAAACACCCCGCCACACTATCTCCTTCTAAAAGGGGAACAAGATCTCGCCTCTCTTCTGTTCCTGGAAGCGGAACCCCCAGTAGCAAAACTGCCTCCTCTCTGGAAGTGAACTTGAGAAAGAAGCCCACTGGGCTCAACCTTGGAAGTGGGGTAGAGGTGAAGGGCTTCTCTCACTGGAGCCTTTTCAGGGGGAGTCAATTCTTACGCAGATTTCAATTTGACTCTCTTTTATTACTTTTCTTTTTTATCATTTACGTCCATTGCATGAGGTAGTTTGCATGTCCTTGAATGGAATCTCGTTACCATGAAAGCTTTTTTAGCATTGATTTCATAACAGTCTTAATTTAATAGCCCCGTCATTACTGAGATGCTCTGGGAGTGGGGCCCTGGCTTTCCAGGTCACTGACCTTTTAATTACAAACCTTGTTCTGATGGCCAGGTTATCGACTGGACAGCTCCCAGCTTGTGCCCCCAGGATGAAAACGAAAATAACTGCGTTTCCTCCCCCATCTCCAGGAAGGAAAAAAATTGTAACCTCCTGTGTTTCTAAAATTAATTTTCTCCTTCAGCTTTACTTTATAATTAATTCTTTAATGTGTCTTAGAGAAGCCAGAAGTCTCTTTATAATGCTGTTTCTTTCTAGAGCCGCGTCCAGCAGGTAGCTGGGAGGGGGCAGGGAAGGGGGCAGAGATCTTGCCAGCTTCCACCCCGCGTCTGAGGGCGGCCCAGCCCCTCATCCTCAGAAGCTCCTGCGGCGGAGCTGGAAGGAGCAGTGCTGGCTCTGCGAGGGGCCGTCTGGCCCTTCCGATCTTTGTTAACAAGGCATGGGTTGTGGCGTGGAGACTCAGATTCATTCCTGTGTTGCTGCAGTAATGGAGCCCTGTCTGTCACAGACATTTTACAAAGACGTTCCGTTCTGAGAAAAGACAGGGTCGGGTGATTTTTCTTCCGTCGTCTTACCTCGCAGGTCGTCTCAGGTGCTGGAGGAAGCGGGCGCCCTGCACCAGGAGTTCTCCTCAGCCGGGCGCTTGTACTGATGGGTCGATCTCGGTTCTCTCTCGCTGACCATGAAGAAGGAGAGAGAGAGGACAGTGGCCCATAAATAGGGCGGCCATCGGTTTCAGTTTTCTCCAGACTGTCCTGGTTTTAACACTAAAATTCCTACGTCCTGGGCAGCCCCTCAGGCCTGGGCAGACAGGTCCCCCTAGCAGTACCAGCTCAGCCAGGAGTGAGAACTCCCAGAGACAAATGGCTGTGCTTTGGGAAGCCAGGGGACGTCCACCAGCAATCAGTCCCCGGGAGTCCAGCTTGC